AATTACGTAGTTGTTTCTATCTGATTTCTTCTGTGCCAAATATTTTGGAAGACTCCACACCACACAGAATCAGATCTGATTCTTTCGCTGAATATATGCAAACAGAAATGGTTGTATAAAGTCGTGGTCTATAATTTTGGAGCGGAAGTACACAGTGCAGCAAATCGAAGAGCAGGAACGTGCCCAAACCTCCTTTATAACACCTCTCTCTATATCCACTTCTCTATGTGGCGATCGAACGAAAAACCAACAATGTTTTGTTTGGTTTTGAACCCAGGTCTTCGGATTACCAGACCAGCGCACAATCCTCTGCGCCACGATCGCCACAAGATTTAATGCATGTGACGAAGGTATTTTATTACTCCTGCATTGTTATTATAGATCTTGTTAATTTTAGTTAATTTTAGATCTTGCGTTCATCTTTTTTTTCGTTTTTTTTTTTACAAGACATGACAGCAATTGCCCCGATATTCACGAAAAAACAAAAAATAAATTAGGGTGCAGAAATTGTTCCTTATTCTTATACGTAATCTGCGCGTTTTGTACGAATCCTAACATATTATAATGTTATCGGATCATAAAAAAAAATAAGTTATAGCATGTAACTAATAATCTACGGTTATACTGCATTCATTTTTTCGCGTGCTACTTTTTTCACTCGCTTGTTTTAAATAATACGAACGGTATCGAGGACGCGATTCTCCATTGAGTCATTAATTTTTTAATATGTTATTGAGGGGGTTCTTCCCGAGTAGTATCTATATATGAAATTACTCGGAAAGATTCTCCCCAACAACATACTAAAAAATAAATGAAATTGAAGGGGAGGCATCTTTTGTGCATAATTACCATTTTTTAAATAAAGAGACGAACAATTAGAGATATCACACTTATTTCAAATTAAAATAGAAAACTCCTAAAATTTAAATAAATAATTTTAGAAAAGATATTTATAAGAAGTCATGTGCAAGTTTAACACGAAAGTTCTACATTCATATATATTTTTGCAAATATATAATATAATAAAGAAAGCGGTATCTTTTTTTTTCAAAGATCACGAGAAAGCAACAACAATTAGTTGTTTTCAAATAGTTCTTTTCAAATATTTATTATAATGACATATTCGGTTCCAGGTAGTAGGAGAAATTATCAATCATTTAATAAATAAAACGGCAGAGATTATCACCGCATTTAAGAGATCCCGTGATAGTGACTTACAATTAAACCAGAAACGTCAGATAATGATCCAGCAGCTGAACGGACCGAACGAGGTAGATCCGTCTAAGCTCTTATCACCGGAAGTGATAGCGGAACACGCAGTCGTAGAAGATCCGTCGACGGTTAGTGACGAATACGAATACGAGCAATCTCTTGTGTCAACCGAAGACGAAACGGCCGAGGATCATGATAGGATTCAACAGGACGAAAGGGTGATCTTCTGGCTACCACGAAATGTTTGTCTGGTAAATCATCTCATCTGCTCTCGCGAATAATTACGAGCGAATGTACTTTTCTTTAAAAAAGAGGAGAACATTTTTTATCGGAAAGATAAACTTTATTCCAGAAATTTGAGTAAAGTGTAAGTTGTAAATGGGGGAATATTAGGAAGAGAATTTTGGAAAAGTAAACCAAAATAGTACAGGCGATCGTTAGGACTTAAAAAGGGTTCACTTTTTAAAATCCTTTATGAATTAGCGTAATCTGTTGAAAGTGAACTCACAAACTCAAATTCCTTTTCGTTACTTCAAAAGGGATTCTACCGAGGCGTACACGGAAAGAATCTTTTCTTATTTTTATTTCTTTTGAAAATTATGTAATCGTCGGACAACATGGCATTTCGAAGAATTTCAAAAACGAAAGGAGAGTTTGCTTATTGTCACCAGTCTCTTTCTAAAAAAGAGATGTTACCAGCGCGAATGTCGTTAATATCGAACAGTTGAGGCCCCTTTTCCGCGATGTCGATTGGTTTTCTCGAAGCGCGGTGTGATTCACTTCTCTTTTAGATTCGTGTCATGTTTCAGCTCGCATGTGAATTTTGACGGTTGTACAAAAATGTACTTAGAGAAAGTTAGAGATTAAACAAAAAGTTAAAGAAAATGAAGTTAAAGTTAAATATCTAATTGAGTGAAGAAGAATGAAAGAAATTCACATTCTTCCAATGAGATACAACGATAATTAATCTTCTTTTTAAATCCGGCGTGATGAAGCTATAATGTAGAGAATTAACAAAAAGTAAAGTAAAGTGTGCAAATTAGAAATTTGCACATGGCTTCCTCATGGAGGAAGCTTTATGAGCGAAATCTAATTTTTTTCGATGTTTCTTGAAAGTGTGCAAATTAGAAATTTGCACATTGCTTCTTCAGCATTGAAGCGTGCAAATTTGAAATTTGCACATTTCTTCCTCATCATTAAAGTAGGCAAATTAGAAATTTGCACATTGCTTCCATTGTTATGGCTTCCTCATAGAGGAAGCTTTAAGAGAGAAATCAAACTTTACTACGATGTTTCTTGAAAGTATTCAAATTAGAAATTTGCATATTCTTATTTCGCTCTTAAAGCTTCCTCTATGAGAAAGTCATGTGCAAATTTCTAATTTGCACACTTTACTTTACTTTACTTTACTTTTTTTATAATTAAAAATTTGCACATTGCTTCCATTGTTATGGCTTCCTCATAGAGGAAGCTTTAAGAGCAAAATAAGAATATGCAAATTTCTAATTTGAATACTTTCAAGAAACATCGTAGTAAAGTTTGATTTCTCTCTTAAAGCTTCCTCTATGAGGAAGCCATAACAATGGAAGCAATGTGCAAATTTCTAATTTGCCTACTTTAATGATGAGGAAGAAATGTGCAAATTTCAAATTTGCACGCTTCAATGCTGAAGAAGCAATGTGCAAATTTCTAATTTGCACACTTTCAAGAAACATCGAAAAAAATTAGATTTCGCTCATAAAGCTTCCTCCATGAGGAAGCCATGTGCAAATTTCTAATTTGCACACTTTACTTTACTTTACTTTTTTTATAATTATATATTATATTGTTCTTCAGTTTTTTCTATAAAATTTC